TATATAACCTTTTCAACTATGTTAGGAATATATAAGCCCAAAAAGGTCAAACATTTACACGTTTACCTACTCAGCTACCAAGTAGTTCTTGGGGCCCGTTGTTAGCTGGGCTTCACAGCATCCGCCCGCCCGGTCGGGTCCTCTTGTAGTTCGACCATCGCATGTCGCAGACCTCTCAGCACCTTGAAGGTTTAGGAAGTTTAAGGTTTTGGGTTTATGAAGGGTTTAAGGCAAAGGGTCCCTGACCCTGTGCTTACCGTTGCACATCCCCCTCCAACACAACACAAAACAAATTTAAAGAAGCCTTGCACGAACCTCTCCTCAACCCTTAAGCCCTAAATCCCTAAACTCCTAAAACCCCTGAGCCCCTAACTGTAGATCTGGAGCCCTCAACCCTTAAACCCTGAATCCCTAAACCCCTAAGACCCCTTATCCCTTAGAGATCTGGCACCCTCGAAGGCTCTAGCCACCACGTATACACATGCAGGCACGTGACCTCGCTGGGTGACAGCGGGAGGAAGACGTAGCGCGGCAAACGAAGATCCTGGTTGCACCCCCCTAGTCTCCTAAGAGTTTACCCTTAGGGTCCAAGTGCCCAAGTAGTAGCTTAGGATAAGAGCCCTTTATCCTAAAACCCTGTACCCTAGTCCCAAAACCCTAACGCCCTAATCCCTAATTAAACCGTAAAGACTATTCTACTCTGTCATAAGGAAGCCCGCTGTGTTCAGGCGCAGTTTGTCGATTGCTTGTCGCAGAGGGGTTCTGATCTCTGGGCTTTGGGTTGTTGGGTTTAGGGATGCATTTGGGTTAGGGCTAAGGCCTCCAGGGCTTGCTTGGGAGCTTCTCAAGGGCTGCAAAAGGCGGGGTAAAGGCGGAAGCATCGCTGGTTTGCAACGGGGGAAGGATCGCTGGTTTCCAACGAATCTTTTTCGGCCCTGCCCACCTTCATGACACTTCTGCACATCATGGAGCAAAACCTAGATCACCCCCAGAAACTCCAAGCCCCTTTGCTTAAGCACCCGACCTTTTATAGATTATCATATGAGCTAAGAGTTCAAGTATAGATTATTTAATTCACTACCCGCACCCCAGGGATCAAAATAGCCCAAAAGCCTTATTAGTATGGTCTTTGTGCCCAAAAGCCTTCATACCTTCGATCCCTAGGGGCACATTCAAGGAGCAGTCCGGCACAGACGTCTGCGAGAGGCTTTGCGTGTCCCAGCATCTGGAGAAGATTGCTTGGATTTAAGGGTTTACGGTTTAGGGTTGAGGGTTTTAGGGTTTGGGGTTTAGGGTATAGAATTTGCGCAAGGTTTAGGTTCAAGGGCTGCGAACACGAGGCATTAGGGCTTCGAGTAGCTGCCGAGAGACTCCAAAAGCCTCCTGATGCCTCCTGATGAAACAGCTTGTCAATATGATTGCGGATGTACGGTATGTCCCGCATTCGAGTGGGTGAAGAACCTGCAGTTTCCCTGACCGAAGCAAAACTCCTAGATTCTAAATTTCTTGTGCTACCTTAAGGATCGAATAGCCAGCAACAATCATTGTTTGCCTGGTTTTGTTACTGGGTTTGCCAACCTTTTAGTTCGTTCTTTGTATGTTGAGTGTATTCAGGCTTGGGGTGGCGTCAGGTGGGCGGGGGGGGGGCTAACCTGCCGGAGGATGTGAACATAATGATGGCATTGGGGGCCACATGCCGAAGAAACCAAGAGCGCAGGATATCTAGAATCTACAAACTACTTTCGAGCTCCTGACCCCTTTTGAGAACGAAGTGTTTCTAACGCAATGTTTCCCAAACACACTGTTTTTTGCACATTCAGACATTCCCGAAAGCAGATTCCCTCGTGAAATACAGCATGCCGGACCCAGCTCAAAACGACGAAGCCAGGGAAGTCCGGGAGAATTACGGCCATGCGACCCAGTACTACCTCAACCCGTATACTACGGATCCCCATATGGTTGAGGGTTTAGGGTTTACTATACGGCATATGAACTCTGAACCCGCTTTCCGGGTTCATGCCGTCTTTGCCCTGCCTCCTCCATCCAATGCAAGCATTCGGGGCTTCATGTTTGGAGAGTTACTCCACAAGAGGGGTTGGAGGTATCTTGTACCATAGTACCATTAAACGCGAGGCCCTGCAGCCCTGACCTACTTGTCGAGTATGATAGGGTAACTAACATAGATTGACCCGTTTGCTGTAGAGGCATTGTAGTCAGTGCCAATGAAAGAGGAAGGTTATCGGACTTAGTAAGTCGTAAGTGCCCTGAGTGGGATGCTAATTGCTCATCACTCATGCCTCTAGAGAAAAGGTACTTGCCGCGTCTGCCGACCCTCCGAGTAGGACCCCTTGTGTAGGGTTTAGGGGCTCAGTGAGTAGAACAGGGCTCCTGCTATTGAGTCCCCCTTAAAGGCGTCCGAGATCAGAACTTTTGGCCGGAACTGGCACCACACGGACCCCCAAGCCCGACTGCTTTGAGGGCATAGCCGACGATTTTGCGGCGTTTGGGGCGACAGGTTTGGGGTCTATCAACCCTGAGATTTAGGGAAGAATTCCACAACCTGGCATCCCAAAAGGACATAAAACCCATTGAAAGCAGAGCCCCCGCACCCCTTCACTAAGGAATACAACAAAAACGATGTTGTTTAGGGCTTTTCGGGCTTAGGGTTTAGTCAACATCCCAAACATTTTAAGGCCTACTCCTTGAAGTTGGATGCACCCTACACCCTTCAACCTAACCTGGGTTGACACCCCGAAAGATATCGCCAAACTCCGCTTGCTTGGCCTCTTCGGCTGAACCCGCGAAGCGGCCTGGAAGAAGAGACTTTAAATGGGAGTTTCCAAAAATTAGGGATACCTTTTTGGGGGTCCTTATATTAAGGATCCTACTATTTAGGGTACTATATTCGGGTCCGCTGTTTTCGGAAAACCCCCAAATTGTGTGTGTAGAGTTGAAGGTTTCTTGAGGGCCCAGTATAAATGAACCTGATCAAGAAACCTTGGGCCTTTATTAGGGTTCCTGTTATGAATCCGACTATTTTGGGGTTATAGGCTCAGGGTTTCCCAGTCCGGTTCCTACATTATACCGTATCGGTACATAGAAACTTGTGGTGTGGGCTCAGACAAATCTCCTGGGAAATCTCGGGTTACCCTTCTGAGACTAGTTGGAAAGTCTGAGCCCAGCATCTGAAGATGAGGCTTTGGGGTTTGCGAACTTGCCCGGTTTGGGGTTTGGGGGGTTTGGGGTTTTTGAATGACTGCCGGGTGGATCAAAATCCGACCCATGGCCCCTCTTGCCTAGGCTCTGAACCTATAAGCTGAAACCCCAGGTGTGGTGCCGAGCCCAAAGGGTCCAAGTAATGGTATAGTATATACTTTTGGGGCCAAAATACCTACAATAATGGTACTTGGACCCTTTGGGGAGGGTTGAAAGCCACTCAGGATCATTGTGGTGCCAGGTTAGGGTGCTCAAGCCCTCGTTCGGCTTCATGTCAACATGCGTTTGCATATGTTGACCACGAGGCACCAGCAGTCATGTGCTACATCCCCACATCTTCATAAATCCTTCAGGATCTATGAATACTTATGGTAAGACGATATGACACACATGTGCATACAGAGCCGTGGCTTGTCGAACCGGCAAGCCCCTCTGGCTTACTTGGAAGGGCAGGGGACTTAGTAAGTAGGCTATAAGTAGAGTTATAAGTACCCTAAATGGAGTTACCGCCCCCCCCCCCAATTATAACCCTACTTATAACCTACTTACTAAGTCCCCTAAAGCCCCTCCAAGTATGGCGCTTGGGTCGACCCGAGGCTGCAGTGCAACATGCTTTTTGCCGGTGTAAATGCATCATGTGCCGATGGCCAAACAAACCCTGAACCCCTAAAGCCCCAGATCATAGGGACCCCCTCCCCACCCCCCTGAGGGGTGGGGTGGGGTTGGTGGCTATACTTCCTTCAATAAGCCTTATTCAATCCGCATTATAGATATTAAGGCCCCCTACCCCCCTCCCCCCTCCTAGAAGAGCCCCTTTGACTAGAGAGCTGCTTGGAGGATCAGGGGACTTAGCAAGTAAGGTTATAAGTACCCTGATTGGGGTTATAAGTACTTATAAGTATAGTTACCTTATGTATAACCCGAGTTACTAAGTCCCATGATCCTTTCAGTAGACCCTAAACCCTCCCCATAGATCCCTTTAAGGAACCCTGTAGATCCCTTCAAAGAGCCCTTTAAGGAACCGTAGTTACTAAGTCCCATGATCCTCTAAGTAGACCCTAAACCTATCTTTAAGGAAGCCTTTACAAGTCCCATGATCCTTTAAGTACTCCTTGGGTTCTCGAGTTGCAGGTAGTTGCACACAGAACGAGGAACCTTCCCTGAAGGGCGAAATGTATCCCAGAAAGGCCTATACCCTAAGGCTCCAAAGAGGGTCTTGGGCTTTCTGGGGGAGGGTTTGGGCTTTGGGGGCTAGGGTCCGGGATCTTAGTACAAGGGTCCAGGAGCCTTAAGGTAGGCTTCAGAAACCATATCAGAACTCATAGTATAACGGAAATAGGCCCGTATACTTTTACTTTTAAGGGTCGTTTGGTCCTAAAGGTGCTACCGAACTCAAAACAACCCTAAACCCTAAACCCTAAACCCTGCATGGGGGTCCAGGGGTCGACGGGTCTATATGGGAGTTTCCGAAAATAGGGGAAGGACCCCGAAATAGGGTACCCGTAATTTTCGGAAACTCCCATATAGCATGCAGTATACTTTGACCTGAAAGAAGTTCGCACAGAGCTGCATTTACACGAACACCTGGGGAAGAAGTTCATACATCCTTAGCCCCAAAGCCGCTACGGTACAGCTGTGCCCAGAATCTTCCGAAAAGGGTTGGCTTAGTTTTTTTTTTTTTGAACGCCTTTTTCCGCCTAGCAGTTAAGGTCGGCCGAATCCGCAGGTAGCTGAAAGCGCGTAAAAGCCCTCAGAAGCCCTCGGAACAACTCGCCACCAGCACTTCAGCCCTGCGATCCCCTCGACGCGGGTTGGTCATCTTCACGCACAGTCGGGATCCCTGCACCATCCGTCACACGGCTCGGACCATCACCACCAGCGTCACCAGCCAGAACCCCTCCGTCCACACCTGTGAGCACCTCGCCCTCGACAGTCACATCCATCGACCCTTGGTCCATCTGCGTGAGAGGCACACCCGTCGCCCTGTCCCTAGCTTCCATCTCATCCATTTCTTTGCAGGCGATGTACTGCGCCTCCATCATGTCCAGCACGTCCTTGCCAAACCGACGGCGCACTTCCTCCGACGTCATCACCCCTTGCTCCCACAGCTGGTACTTGGCCGAATAGTCATCGAAGTCGAGCTCCTCAAACTCAGGGTCCAAGACAGGCGGCTGCTGCGGTGGGTCGAGGACAACCGTCGCCACCTCCGATTCATCCACTTCCTCCACCATGGCAGCGCGGAGGCGAACTTCGAGCGCTCCCTGGTCAGGTACCGCAAAAGCCATGCGTCGAGAGACCCGGGGGGCTTCCTCGGAACCCGTGGCCACTTCAACCTCCACGACGCATCTCTTTCGCAGCCTCCTGGCGTCCATGGCACCTCCGCTCAAGCTTAGCCAACTCGGAGTCCTCCCATGCCTGGTAAAGGGCCGCTTGCCGCTTGAGCATTTCATCCTCCTCCGCTTGCAACCTGGCCAACTCCAGCTCACGCTTCGCTTCTTCTCGCTCCCTGTCGGCCAGCATCTGGTTCTCCTCCTCCACATGGGCTTCCAATTCAGGTTGGCTTAGGTTTACAGTTTAGGCTTTATGCGTTTTAGGGTTTGGGGTTTATGGGTCGTGGGTTTAGTGTTTATAGGATACCCTTTTCGTACTGTTCAGTTGGAATAAGGAGCCCTCCCAAACTCCCAAGCAGCACAAGAGCTCGCTTATTTTGACAGGTATAAACTTTGGGAACCATACTTAGGGCTTGAAGGCTTAAAGGGCTTCCAATATAGGTACTGCCAGCCCGATGTAAGTATATGCTGTATGCCAATAGAACGATTTTAACAACTCTTAAGAATTTCCTTTAAGGGAAGCCTTGAAGGAAAAGGAGCCCTTAACGGAAGTCTGGAAGGATACGTTAAAGGAGCCCTAAAGCCCATAAAGGAACCTTTTATGCAACCCTTAATACGTACATGGAGCCTTTACTTAGAGGTCCAGGGGACTTAGTAAGTAGGTTTTAAGTAGAGTTATAAGTACCCCAAATGGAAATTCCTCAATGAAAAACCCAACTTATAACCGACTTACTAAGTCCCTTCGCCCTCCAAGACCCTAAACCCCATAGATCCCCTCAAAGAACCCTGTAGGTCCCTAAAGGAACCCTTTAAAGGATCCCTTATAGAACCCTTTAAGTACATGGAGCCTTCAGGGTAGGTTTCTGGATCTCCCTGAAATCATCGCCTTGTTTGGATCTCTGTCGCGCAACTCTTCCTCCAGCCTGGCTGTGCTTGGGGGGTCGGGGGGACGTAGTAAGGGTTCTTAACGGGCTCCTTAAGGGGATCTATAGGGTTCCTTGAAGGGATCTATGGGGTTTAGGGTTTAGGGTCTACTTGGAGGGTCGGAAATAGTAGAAAGTAGTTTTTTGACTTGCAGGTACCATAACTTTTGTACATACTGACCCAAGTCCTCCAACCTCGCACTGGGGTTCTCGAGCTTTAGGGCTTTTAAGGTAAGGTTCAGGGTTTAGGGTCTAACGTTTGGGGCTTCAGGGTTTTAGGATCTAAGGTTTAAGGTTTCGCGTTGTGGGTTTAGGGCTCAGGGTCTAACATTTAAGCAGACATACAGTGAGCGAGTCAGAGTTAATTCGCCCCCTGAATCCAAAAACTATACTGAACTTAGAACCCAAGCAAAATTAGAATTTTAGCTGTTTCTTAAGGATGGTAATAACCAAAAATTAAAAAATATTTCTAAGTACCCCTATGCAAAAACTAAACCCCAAGCCCCTTTATTCCTCGCCTGCGATCCTGACCCGAACCCTGGTAGCAGAAAATTCTTTCTGCACCCCTACCCATAGGCTCCACTGTATATAGTTCCTTTTGGTGATTACCTTATAGAATCCTTAAAATAACACACAAAAAGGAACTACAATGGAGCCTATGGGCAAACCAGCAAGAGATCCCACGAAACCTCCTGCAACAACAAGTGACCCCTCACGAGTCTAGGGTTTAGGAGGAGTCGTAACCCCAAATCCTGGTCCTCTGGACCTTTGAAGTACCGAGGGAGATAAGAAAAGCAGGGAGGTGTCTTTCAAAATGGTTCCCCCAAGTAACCAGGCCAAGAAAAGGCACTGGTACTGCCGAACCTATCCAGAAGCTCCTAACTACAGGGTTTCTACAGTAGGAATCAGTATTATGGTCGGAAAAAATCTCCTCCATAACGGTACTTAGGAGCCTTTGAGACCCTAAACCCTAAAACCCTAAACCCTAAACCCTAGCCCAAAAACCTGCCGGGCTTGCTTTGCCGACCGCCTTCGCTCCTCCTGCAGCTCGTCACGAAGCCGAGAGAGGAGCCTTCTTGGTTTAGGGTTTAGGGTGTTGAGGGCTTAGTAAGGCTTTAGGGTTTAGAGGTTTAGGGGTTTAGGGTTTAGGGTTTAGAGGTTTAAGGGCTTAGGGTTTCGGGTTGAATAAAGTTATATGAAGAAACTACAAGGGTTTTAAGGTTCAGGGCTGAGGGTTTACAGGTTTAGGGTGTTAAGGGGTTGCTTGTTGGGGTTCCTTTTATGGACTCCCTGAATTTGGGAGCTGCTAAATACGAGGGAGGAGCCTTGCTTTGTTTAGGTTTCTTGTGGCTTCGTCTAAGGATACCTTTACAACATTGGGTGGTTGTCAACAACATGGTCCCTTTTGGGTCCCTATTATAGTACAGCACCTATTATTTAGGGTACCCAAACAAAGGCCATGATTTTGACAACTACCCACATCAGGGTCATGAGGTTCTTGGTTGGGGCTTCTTCTGCTAAGGTTTAGGCCCAAGCTTTGGGGTTCAAGGGTTCCTTTAGAGGTTCCGTTCAGGGCTATATAAAGAGAACTGCATGGGTTTAGGTTTTAGGGCGTTTCATGATTCCACCCTGATGGACCCCCAAAGTGAGGAACAATTACAAGAACCCTGCAAGTAAGCATTACTGGACCTGAAACTGAAGATTGTCAAGAGGGTCCTGAGAGCTAGAGTATATGGTACGCGTACTGTAACAGCAAAGAACCTTGAGGAATGGCAGTCTCTTTCTGGGCGGATGATAGAGTCGCTCGACGCATCCAACATGCAAAGACTTCAGGAATAACATAGCAGTCATTCCCAGGGCCCTAACCCCCCCCCTTTCCTTTCCGAAAAGCCCATTGCAAAGGACCGGGCAAAGAGTCGCTTTGACGAAGGACCTGCAGCCACTGGAAGATCATAGGGTACAGGGCTTTTAGGGTTTACGGCATAGGGGTTCCTTTGAAGGGGTCTTTGCGGTTTCTATAACAGGTCCCTGGGCGTCAAAATCGCCCAACAGCCTTGTATAGCATGGTCTTGGGGCCCAAAAGCCTCAATATATGAGTCCTTAGATCCCTAAGGGTTTTAGGGTTTAGGGCCTAGGGCTTTTAGGGTTTAGGACTTTTAGGCTTTAGGGGTTTAGGCGCTTGTTCGGGTTTAGGGGTGTTTCGGGTTCAGGATGTGTCAGGATATGTGGGCGGTTGTCAAAGTTATGGTCCCTTTTTGGGTCCATATCATAATACGGCACCTAATATTTAGGGTATCGAATAGGGGGCCCATAATTTTGACAACCACCCATGTGGGAAATGGGGTTAAGGGCTTTTAAGACCTAAGACCTGGTCCTTACCCGCATACTCTACTTCAGGGCTCAAGGGGCTCAGCAAGTAGGGCTTCGGTTGAGGATGTAGGGCCTGTGGGATTAGGGCTTCGGGGCTTAAAACTTGGGGGCTAAGTTAGGGCTTAGGGGTGAATTAGGATCGATAAGGCTGCTTAGGGGGTTGGATTTAGGGGTCAAGCATGGGTAGGAAGTAGGGCTTACCGTAGGGCGTTTTCGGAGGGACGATTGGGAATTATATAGGTGTTGTTTACAACTTACGGTTGTAGAATCCGGAGATTCAGGAAGTAGTTACAACTAGCTCGTTTTCTGCCTTACTCCCCTAGCCTGTATCCTACTTGCTAAGTCATCTTCTGCCTTACTGCACTGGCCTGTATCCTACCTGCTACGTCCTCTGCTCCTTTGAGAACTATTAGGGGCGAACCAGGCATTCCGAGGTTCGGGGATACCGAAATCCTAAACCTTGCACAGCCGGGGGTGTGAGCCAACCCTGTGCCCCTAAACCCTATAGACCCTAAGCCCTAAGCATTTTCCCTTTGGACCCCAAGCCCCTGACCCTTAAACCCGAAACCCCTATAGGCCCGAAGCCCCAAACCCCAAACCTTAGAAAAAAGCGACCCCCAAACCCCTGCTTGGGAACTTTGAGGGTCATACTCAAGGGAGAAGCAACTCGGGTAAGGGTTCCTTTACGGGCTCGTAGAAGGTTTCTACAAGGGCTGCTTTAAGGGGTCTGTGCACGGGCTCCTTTTAAGGGTTCCTATAAGGGCTCCTTTGAAAGATCAATCAAGGCTTCCCATTCAGGGTTCCGCTGCAGATTGTAGTATGGACTTTGTATTCGTTTGAGAAAGGTCCAAAGGACCAATAAGTAGGTACTTGGGCCCTGAGCCCTAAACCCTAAACCGATGGGTTTGGGATCAGGGTTTTGGTTCCCATCAGGCCAGTGGCACAACACAAAGGAGCCTGAATCATTTGGGTTTAGGGTTTTGAGCTCCGGGAAAGAACAACTACGAAAAGGGTCCCTAAGGAAACATGCTGGTAATTATTGAAGCCCCTAGATTACTCCAGAACGGAAAGACACCATCTCAGTCGGTTGCACATGGCAAAGCACATCCGCAGATCAGGCTTGAACTCAGTTACAAGTAGGCTATACGTACCCCGTTTCCAGGCTGTGAACTGGGCTCAGGGGCCCTGTAGAAAGAATCTATTTTCCTTACTCTTCAGTCATCTATCAGTGTATTTATTATTGGGGCCCTAATTATCAGAATAGTGTTTTGGGGCCCATTATGATATAGCATGGGTAAATATTGAGGCCCCTATACTTGGAGGATCATGGGACTTAGTTTCTAAGTACCTTAATTGGGTTTATAAGTATAGCTACCTTCATTATAACCCTAGTTACTAAGTCCCATGATCCGTTAAGTAAACCTAAACCCTCATAAGTATAGTTGCTCAGCTACTAAGTCCCATGATCCTTTTAAGTATTATGGCTAGAATCCAGGTCCCTCCAAGAAGCTTCTTTGGCGACACACAGCATTCACGCTCGAGTGGCTGACTTATAGAAGACATGAAGGGCATGTCTGCCCTTCCTGTACCTGTACAACTGCATCCAGTCGGGAGGTCTGAGACGTCTTGCTCGCTGAGTTCGCGTCGAGGGTTTCAGAATAGGTCTAAGTGATTTGGATTCGAGCGCTTATAACCCTAAACCACCCTAAACCCTAAACCCAAAGCCCTCAAGCCTAAACCGTGCTTATAAACCCTAAACGCTAAACGGTGTTGGGGTTTAGGGGTTTACAGGTTTAGGGTCTCTGGACCTTGAGAATAGGTGAGGAACTTTGTATTTGGGAGTTTCCGAAAATCAGGGGTACCTTATTTCGGGGTCCTTATAATAAGGATCCTACTGTTTAGGGTAATTCCTATATT